GAGAAGGCTCCTTGTGCTCATGTTTCTTTCTAGGCCCAATCTTACATGCAGACGTGGGTTATATTTACATTGTGGCTTATAGTTGTAAATTACAGCCTGGTAGCTGGAAGAGAAAAATGGTTCCTGCATAACATGGCTGAGAAGGACAACTCGGGACTGTCTGATGAATCCAGTTTCTGATATACTAGTGGTCTTAAGTTTTACCTTCCTAACTGATTGATAGAATATCTAAGGTGATGGGTACCTAGATGATATCTAAAGTTATGTTTAAGACAGTTTTTTTTTTTTTTGAAAGCAGGGTTGTCCGTTAATATGCCCACACAGAGCAAGTTGTCAGTGGAACACCTAATGCTTACTGCTTCGCCCCACGTGGGAGGAGCAGTCACAAAATAGCATCATATTGACTCCTGCTGTGCGCTTGTTCGGTGTGCAGACTACTTGGTATGCACAGATACCCTTTCTGCAGTGAACAGGCTTGGATTCACCCAGGTCAAGATCACTTTATTAGCATTGCAAAAGCACTAAGAGCGTATACCACTGATAACCACCTGCTCAGTTTGATCATCGGCTACATATGTGATCCTAGCAGAGATAATTTGGAAAGGTATGTTTATGGCTTTGTACTTAGCATGTAAGGATATGCCTGGCAGTTTCACAAACATGTCCTTGGCTAAAGTCTGTTGCTAAGCAATAGTTTAAGATAAGGAATACATACAAATCTTTGAAGGCTTAAGCATGTCTAAAGCCCTAAAAATTAGGAGAGAGGTATAGAATAGAAAGGTCCTGCTTTTGTCTGGAGCACCTAAAAGGAATTTTAAGCATTATTAGTCTGGGAACAACATCATAATTGTAAGAATTTGCAGTATGTTCCTCTTCCTGTATCCAGCCAGCTGTAGTGTGCGGCAGAATATGTAGGTTGGATGAATTTCCAGCTCTACTTGCCCGTCTGAGGAGATAAGGTACAGAGAAAGAGCCACAGGTAGAAGTAATTGTCCTATCTGTGGCAAACTTTTGCATGTGGAGACAAAGGGGAGGGAGCCAGAACCACTTGCTGCTTATCTCTCACACTGCTTCTGTGTTTGCACTCCACGAGACCTTCATAGCTAGAGGTCACTTCCGTCGTGCTTCTGTAATCCTCGTTTGCCTTGTGACCATCAGTTACTGACTCACTTTGCAAGAAAATGGGAGCCTTCCAATGGTGGTCCTGCGTTGCTTGCATCTCATGGATCATGTCTCAAAGTACGGCTGATTTCATCTAAAAATGAGTCTGCTTCAGCATTCTCCATCTGTCCTTTAAGTCAACCAGTTTGTAATTGTACCTCCTAAGCAGTCTTCCGTACTTTACGACCTGTCTTCAGTGATTGCAAGCAGTGATATGGGGGCAGAAGAGGAGCTGCATCTCTGCTTCTCAATAGAAGCCTCACAGAAAACTTTTTTATCTTCTGTTCTCCCTGTTTCTCTGGGGTGTGGGTGAGAGAAAAGCTACTAGCTGCATGAACTTGGCAGCGGCAGTAGATTTGAACTGAATTGACCCATAGGATGCAAATGGAGTCATGAAGTATATGTGGCAACGTGATGCATATTAAAGTGATTTGGAGGGTAATGTTTCCCTGACTGTATTCTTAGTAACTGAGAGAAGTGATCTTCCCACCTTAGCTGTAAGCAAGTTATAACACCCACCAAAGAGACTTTCAGAAGCTGAAGGTAGCCCTGGCTACAGGATACCTCAAAGCATGGATTTAGTTGAGGCCCGTTCCCACTCTGCACTGGCTATTTGCATCCTCTGCCCCTTTAGTCCTTACAGAGGCCCCATGCCATAAAGCCCCTGAGCGAGCACAGGCTGTTTCCTGTTCCGATCTCAGTGGCATGCGTAAAAACATGCCCAAGAAATGACGGTGTTCCCTTGGGAATAAGGAAAGACCAACTAGCTGCGATGAGAGGAGAAAGTTTTATATCCGTGTAGTTACTAATTCTTTATTTGGAAAAACAGAACTGTTTATCTGGTGGTTCTTGGAGCTTTAGCTTCATATTAAAATGACCTTCGCCTAAACCTTCTCCAGTTTCTTCCCAGAGGAGAAGATAAAAGTTGCAGTTTGCTTCAGAACAGAGGCTTAAAATTGGGCTGCAACTGCCCTTTCTAGCAAGGCTGCAAACAAAGCAACTGCGTTTCATTTCTCAAAGTATTAACTCCTTAGTCTGCAGGGTGGGTCACACTAAAATTCTAGCTGGTGGGAGGTCTAGTGAGCTTCCCTGGGGTATATCCTGAAACAGGATAGGGTTCTTCCTTCTTGCTTGCTATTTCTGGGTCTCAGACCTTCGAAGGTTTGGCCATAGAGCCTTCTTCTCCTCCCTCCCCAAAGTCTAATATTGAATGTGTGTAGAGTGCGAGGGGAAACTTGAAAGAAGGAAAGGAAGCTCTTTTCTCTTAGTCTACCTGCGTGATCCCTCCCTCGCCTGTTGCCAGACACCTGTGGTGCTTGAGCAGTGCCCTTTCCTGTCTATGGCCTTGCTTTGCCAACTTCCTTGTCAGAGAACAGTTGAGGTTGGGAGAGACGGCAGGAGATCATCCAGGCCAACCCCCTGCTCAGAGCAGGCGCAGCTACAGCAGGTTGCCTACAGAGCAGGCGCAGCTACAGGGCATTGCCTAGCTGGGTACTGGATATCTCCAAAGATGAAGGCTTCGCGACAGCTCTGAGCAACCTGTTCCAGTGCCTGACCACCCTCACTGCAGAAAACACTTTTCTTACGTTCAATGTATTGCCTTGCCACCACCAGCAAACCCTCTACCTAGGTCATCCCAGGAGTTCCTTTATTTCGGTATATGCCCAGAGCAGGAGGGATTGCCTTCCTTCACGTGCCATTTCTTGAATGCTACGTTTGTTCCCGTCAGTTAGCTACTCTTGTCCTTCCAAGCAGAAGGAAGTGGCAGTATCTCCTCTTGGCTTCCAAAATGTTTAAATGTCTGCTCATATACCTCTTATTTTAATAGGCATGTGAGGTCATACATGCAAAACCAAATCTGAAGCACAAGCTCATCTACCCAGTACATATTTTGCAATCTCTGGTCACAGCGCTCTAGGCCATCTTTGAGCTTCCCTGCCAGTATAAACAAAGTCATCTTGAGATCATGCCCTATCTTTTCTGCAATTTACTTTTTAACCTGATACGGATACTATTATCATATGGCCTCTAAAGCCTAAGGAAAAAAATGCTTGGGCTGCTGTTAACAAACCTGGCAAGAGCTCTCCTTTGTATCCTCCTGGGAGTGTTTGGTCATGGAAGTTACTTTTGTTATACCCGATTCCACTAAATAAATCTCCAATTTTCCTGTCTTTCCATCAAACATTACATGTTAAGGAGCCTAGAATAACAGCTGCTGCCACTCATGTTAACCGAGAGGAGCACAAGACACTGAAGTGTCTAGTTTCTCATCACTTACGGGATGGATAAAAGTATCTGTTGTACTGACTAGTCCATCAAATATGAATGATGCGGATAGAGTAGCTGTTTATACACAGGGATCTATTTTAGTTAAATTGAAAACACACACAGGGGAGCGTTTCAGCTTTGTGGATAGAAAACAGTGGAAACGTTTTTTTTGTTTGGTTGGCTTTTCTGTTTGCCAGTGACAATTAGTTCTCGGGGGTGTACCGTCTGCAGCTGTGAGAAGATGAGTTCTGTTCTTCTAGGATGAAAATCCAAATATTGTTAGTTATCCAACCAAATCTCATGAAGCCGAGGATGAGGTGCTTGCCTCCCTTTATCATTCCAATTTTGCCCTAATACTCAGGTCTTTTGTATAGTGTTAACATAAGCATTTACAAAGCTAGTCCCTCTGGAGGATGACAGCAATTGTTTTGCTTAATGTTCAATGTCTTCCTCTCCCTCTGGACTCTGTGCCAGTGCATACTGTAATGAACAAGCTCTGGAAGAATATCACAGCCTCACTTCATCTATTAGGACACTTTACACAGCAATTTATTTTGCACCACCATGAATTATACAAACACACAAATGAAAGATACATACGCAATAACTACACGTGGAGAGCGTTGTCGTAGCAAACTCATTAGCAGAATGAGTTTCTCTATAGAAAATCACTTAACCTTTACAGATTTCCTGGTACTGTGTTTATTAATGCTATTGCTTTGTTTTGAAGTAATATTTCTGTGTTATCTAAAAACATGCTCCAGACTTGAGAATTAATGTACAGCATTAAGGTTTCCTCTGAGCGTACTAATTATATAGAAGGCAAAAAGTGAGCTCTCTTGACGTTTGCACATGGGACGCATCCTTACCCTTTTATACGTAGATGTATGAGAAGACTTTCAAAACCAGAACCAAATGATGCAGGGCAAAACTCTTACTGAAAAAGAATAGCTTTGGTTTCAGTGGTCAGACGTTGATCGCAAGTGGAAAGCTGCAATGAGTAGGCTTTATCAAGATTTGCCTGTAGGGCTCAGTGGCTAACATTTTGCCATGGAAACTATTTATCCAACAGTAAATTGAGATGAGGGAAACGAGAAGAGTAACTTTTTTGTCAAAAAGTCTTCTTGGTTAGAAAACCAATGCTCCATATGCACGTGTTTCTGTCCAGAAGACTGCCAGCAGGAGTATGGCGACTCTAGTAATTTTGCGGGTAATGGAAGCAGGATGCATCAGGAATAACATACTCAGTACAGAGTAACCCACACATACGTAGCTTCCTGCGGTAGTCAATTTACGTATAGACACAAACTGGCAGACATTTTCATTGCCACAGCATCTCTGAATATTTATTTGTTTTGCGATAACAGTTCTAAAGCTAGTGATTAATCATTAACATTTTCAAGTGACCTTGTTAACCTGATTTTTTTGATTTGTTCCGTGGCAAGATTACAGCTTATGTGGATTATTGAAAGACCTGTGATCTTGGAATCTGAGGAGAAGCTATTGCAGGTGGAGATTGTTGTGATTCAATTGGCATCATGCTGCTGACTGCTTAGCATGAAGGTATGGGGCTGTGAAATGAAGACAAGGGAAAAAGTTGGTTCAATAGGTTTGAAGTCCATAGACTGACTTGAGGGACATACTAGTCAAAACGAAAGCAGGCAGTGATTCTGGTAGGCACGGGAGCAGACTGATGCTTTCTCCACCCTTTGTACTCAGGATCTGTGGGGTTAGATTCCATTTTCCTGCTCCATTGAGCTGTTTCTGCTTTTATAGAAAAGTAGATGCCATTGCTACCCAGGTGCGATTCTGTATCGTTCTTGTGTCTTTTATAGCTGTATTTATGACTCGTGAGTAGAGACTGAAGGCTATTGACTTCCGCTGATATTTTCCAGGTGATATTAATACAAACGGCATGAAGTTTTGGCCTTGAGGGGAAAGTTTCAGTAAAAGGCTATCTGGAATAATTAAACCTATCATACAAGCCTTGTCGTCCTGAAATGAAACGAAGAACAAAATTAACCTGACAGAAATTCCAGCCTACTTACAGCTCTGAAGCCCTGGAGCTGGTTGAAAAGGCTGGAATCTGGATTGTGTTGGTCTTGAAACCTAGTATGTTCTAGGCATCAGCATATAGCAGTTTTGTAATTAGCTAACTGTAGAAGAAGTGGGAAAAAAAAGAAGAAACCCATTTTTTACTGCTTCTGCGCTTCAGCCTCGTCCGCTGCTTTATCCATGATGTCTATGTTTTGTGAATTTGGTATGGCGTTCTTGCTGGCTTCGGAAAGAAAGACTGGGCACGGAGGGTGTTACAGGTGCTACCAATGAGGTAAGTAGAAGATCTGGAAGGGTGCAGAAATCAAGATGATGGAGGAAGGAAGGAAGGAAGGAAGATCAAAATTCCCATAACCTCTGTGCTCTGGTGTTTTACCTTCGGCATATAAAAAAGAAGCAGCTTGTAAGAAACTGCTAACTGAGGGAGGTTATAGATCAACAGACTTTAGTCTCCTACGAATTATGTGAACATTCTTATTTATTGCTGGGGGTTATAACATGTTAACTCTGCATATCAGGATCCTAAGATATCTCAGGAGCAATATGAAGTGTTTAATGCGTGGACTGAAAAACTGAAGTGTAGAATTCGTAAAAACTGACAGTCCAGCAGCTGTAATTTGCAAAGACAAATGAAGCAGGATAATTTATTCCCGGTGGAAACTTACAAGAAGAGCGTGTAATGTACCTATTTAGATTTTTCTTTTTATAAGAGGAAAAAAGACAAGATGATATTACAGTGGGTTAGAGGCAAGTGATCCTTTTACTACTTCCTCATTATAGGACATGTAATATCACCATAGGACATGGAAAAAACCCATGACTTTTAGAGCTGTTCTTTTCAGTGAAACCAAAACAGTTTTGGTTTTAAAACTAACTTTATTATCCTATAGCTAGAGCACAATGATTCGTAAGTTGAAACTAAAACATAAGTCTGTATATCTCATCAGCGTTCTCTAATCACAAATGAGTATTTCCTAACAAGAATAGTGGAATTCTGCTCTTGAACGAGAATAGTTCACAGATAGTAAGCATGTCTTTAGAGCTTAGTTTTTGCATAATGAAGTAATGGAACTCACTGTATGTTGATTGAAACTTTATATCTTTATAGTAGGTTGGTACCAACCTCTGTCTTTTATGTGGGATGATTGAAAGCACAGCTGCTTAGTTAGCATTTTGATATTCCTGGTACAGTTATCAACATGGGTGAGAACGTGCATGCAAGGATTTGAGAAACTGGGTAAACTATCAACCCAAATGATCAAATATTCAGTGAGGTGAAAGCTGAAGAAATTGTTCAACTTTAAGACAGTTTTCGCCTAATTCAGTAGTGAGGTGCGGGTCTAATTCAATAGCAGAGGATGGGCCCTATAAAGCAGATTCTATAATTGTTCTTTTGCAAAACATGCATGCTCTTTGCTTTTACAGATGTTTGAGATTTTTGTCTTAAAGCTCTTCAACACACACGCGTGTGTGCATGCGCACACAAAGTCTCATCTTCCACCTCACTCTCTCAAATCCAATCATCTCTGTGCATGATTGACCTACGTGATCACCGTGGTTTCCAATTCAATTTAGGTCCCTGAAGAGGACTTTTAATTAAGAAGCTCTAATAGAATCTAAGAGAAAATGTCTAAGTTGCTGGTCTTCAAACCGTGATCTGCAGATCCCTGAGGTGTCTGTGGCTAGCTCATAAGGGAGCTTAAACATGTCCTTTCTGGGAAGGTCATATCCTTTGCAGCAATCTGCATAGGTACCTCTTATGGATCCATGCATCCACTGGAAAATTCCTACAAAAAGTTGAGAAACTCTGTAATGGGCTGCTGCTAAGCGGTGGGTAACAAGACAGAGAGTAGTGAGCTGAGAGCGGGACCACAGCCACAGAAGTGTCTTTGTGTGAAGCGATAGCTACAGTTTGTGTCAAGGTGCTTAGCCTAGCTCTGAGCTCGCTCAAGTCCACCTGCGGCACGGCAGAGCTCAGCGGGCACTGGGGATTCGTAACGTGTGCCACTGCCACATGAGTTAGCTGGTGCTTTGCTGTATATTCAAGCGCACTTGCTTGTGTAGCAGCTGTAACACTCAAATACTGAAGAACTCACTTTTACCCAGTGTGTGTCTGAGCCAGTTGCAGAACTTTATCACCGCTGTCTGAACTGTAGAAGTGTACATGGGTGGGACTTCCAGAAGTACTTGATATTGGTCTGGTATTTATTTTGGTGGAAACAATCCCTGTGTGCGCGCACAGGAGGGGTGGTGTATGCTGATGTTTACTCAGTAGCTCTTGCTAATCTCCATTAAGCGACTTGTGACTGCTGGACTGTGCATGCAATGTTTGGTAATGTGGTGCAGAAGCACTCGAGAAGGCTTTCACACCAGAAGCTCCAGCATTAGCCACATACAAGAACAAAAGGTAGGACTGGAAAACACTTCCTGAACTCTTTCAAGTGCACTATTTGCTGAAAAGCAAAGTTCTAGAAAATTGGAGCCGTGTAAAAATTTGAGATAACTTTGTGAAAAGTTCTTGGCAGGAAGACAAAATGGAAAATGTGAATGTTCTGTGTAGACTGTTTCAGGATTAAACATCTTGAATTTTTGTTTCAAAATGCTCTCCCTTCTGGCAATTCTCTCAAAACTTCTGGTCACACAAATCTGAGTTATTGAAGATACAACTGAGGACTTCTGTCAGACAGAACAATATTTTATTTAATAGGAAGTTTCTTTTTAAGCACTTTATTTAATTGGAAATCTCCAAACTTTTCTTTTGGAAAGCAACTTGAAACAAATTCCGTTGTTCGTTTTGTTAGTTTTCAGTTAGCTGTTTGAACAGAAGGCTCTTTGCATGAACACAAGAGGGGATGATGGGAAATTTGAGAACAGAAGAAATTAAAAATGAAGAGCTTCAGTTGTGGTAAGCCAGCCCCTTGATACAGTGGCACTCAGAGTCCAGACCTGGACTACTTGGGCTCGGGTAACTGTACCCACATAGGTCCGTCAGCACAAGTCTCACGCAGGCCACCCGGCTGGCTTTATAGGGGAAGAAGTCATATATACTGCGTCAACGTAACAAGTGAGCGGGAACTTACCTTAGCTCCCTTTTCCGCAGAAGAAACCTGAAAAATGCAGAGCACAAACCCTTTGTGGGGTGTGAAGGACTTTTCCACTGGAGCGCGGTAGGCAAGGGAGGGAGGAAGTATTATTGCCCCTGGGACTGGAGGAAAGAGCGAGGAGGGGTAATAGCAAGTTAACCAGTTCCCTACCAAAAAAAAAAAAAAAAAAAGCCCTCTCTTGTCTCGGCTCCCAACAGACTTGGTTTTCCGTGCAATGAAAATGAGGATGAAATGCCTCCCTTGCTACCCTTTTAAAAACACTTCAGTGACCTCCAAGGAGCGACAAGAGCAGCATCGTTATAACTGGGAAATGAATTGCTTGCTTTCTGGATTTAGCGGCTTCCTGTTCTGGAAACCCGAGATATCGTCTCAAATTTCTATTTGTTGTCAGCCCAGCAGAAGAGACTCCAAGGCTGCAAATCCACTTGTGAGGCAGTGGTTCATCTGCTAATTGTCTCTGCCAGACAATGCCATTTACACTGAACACAAAATCACCTCTAACCTATACTGACCAGATAATCATTATATCCTTGAACTTCCATCCTTCTGAAATAGTACCCCTTACTGCAGATGCAGAGAGCGTGTGTCAGCTTCTCTCACAGGACAACAAAATACAGGCATGCTTGTTATCGATTAATTTATAAACATACTAGTTTCCAGACCGAATTATGATCTTGTAAGCAACTGCATTATAAAAAAGACGTCTGACGTGTCAAACATGCTGTAATGGATCTTGTGCTTCAAGGACTGTGGTGTCCGTTGAAAGTCAACGAGGGCTGGGTACAGGACTGGCATCTGCCTTAAATACACTGTGAAAGTGTGTGGTCCCGGTGCTGTCGCGCTGAATTTGGCTCCCCGGCTGTGGCGCAGGGTGGCGTCAGCAGAAGGTTCAGAAAGGCCTTTGCAGGCAGGAGTCCGCTGAGGGGCTGCTTTGCGCTTGCTGTTACTCTCCCAGCCTGCTTTTTTTGCATGTTGCTGTCAGCGATGCCGGTAAAGCTGGGCTTTGCCTCTGTGAGAGCTTTTCAGTAAGGAAAACGGTTTTTTCCCATTTTGCAACTTTGTGATTGCTCTTTCCTCCTTCAGGACAGCTTACAGCACTTGCCGTTTTTGCTGCATACAAAATTGCATGTTCTGTCACATTGGTGTGTCGAGCAGGTCTAGCTTACCCTCCTGCATCAGCCAATTTGCCACAGCTGCTGCATCAGCTTTAAATGGGATCAGATCTGAAAATGGCAGTTCCGCAAATTCACATGACTGACCTGTAGCAGTTTTTTTCCCCCTCTGTGTTTTGACACTTTATTCTGTTAACCTGGAGCACTGAGTAAACCTCTGGATTTTGCCCTTCAGTCAGTGAACCTGTGGGGATTTTTTTTTTTTTTTACCTATGAGATATTGCTCTTCATTTTGGAGACAACATATATCGTAAAAAACTGGTTTGACAGCCATGATTCATTTTAATGCTATAGCGACTGCTACTCGCAACAAAACAAGCCTGTGTGATGGTTGCTTCCACTTTCTCTAAGACCGGTCTTTAAGAGGATATGGTTTTTACTTAGTTCCAAAGTCTAGCTCGGGCATTATTGCCTGAGATTTGACATCTCCCAAGGGATGTGATTAAAGAGAGAGACAAAATCAGAACTACTGCTTTGGTGACTCCAGAAAAACCTGATAGCCAGAGCCTATAGGACCACCTGTGTGGAAGGGAGTATCTGGGCAGCAGCGACACTTCTCATCTCTTCCCTTGTGGTTTATGGGACTTCTAAATATCTGAGCTTCACGCTAGGCAGGAATATATGGTACACGTCTCAGTTGTTTTTGCCCATTCTGCAGTAGAAAGACAGAAGTGGTGGTCGCAACAGGCTACTAAGAATATTCCGAATGAACTTGCAAGAATATCACGTCAAAACTACTAACGAAGTACAGCTAGGTTCTCTAGGAAGGAAAGCGACTCTGAAGTGATTCTGAGGTTGAGAGTACCTTAGCCATCCAAAGTGCCTTCCAACAAAAGTGAGAAAAAAGGCCCATTTAAATCCACAGGGACTAATAAACATCTGTGTGTGTGTGTGAGGGGGGGGGGGAGGTAAGAAGCAACGTACTGTGGTTAGTACAGAAGCAAAGAGGAGCTGTCAAGCCTGTTTTCTTTTCTTTGCAAGTTACTCCTAGGAAGGGATTGAACAATATTGAGAGCCCCCCGCCTCCCTCTACCTCCAAAACCCCAAAGCAACCACTGTTCATTGCCTGTGTGTCTTGTGGGAGAGAGTGGGGGGGGGACGGACAGGGGGGAGTTAGAGCTAGTTTTTTGTTTGCTTCAATTTCTTGGTTTTTTGTCTTTGTAGTATCAGCTGAAGGACTTAATTCTGCTATTGCTACAGAGGAATCATGTTCTGCTTGAGTTATACTGAATACACTTGTAATCCACACCAGCTGCAACAATTATAAAAAAATGCTGTTCAAAAACCTTTTGCTTGATCTCATTTGAGTATGAAACTAAGGGTCTGGCTTTTTAAGAAGGCCCTATTGGAACTTGCCCAAAAGATTAATGTGCAAATGCTAAGAATTCTCTGGAAGCTCTTGAATGAAAACGTTTAATTCCAACTAACCACAGGAGTAACTGTTTGTAGAAAGAGATGAGTAATGATATTGCGGACAAAATAAGGTGAGCCCATAAACTTGACGGCGTAGTAGTTGTGTATTACTTGACGATAGAGTTTCTCGCACTACTTTTGTTTATTTTTAATGGAAGAAGCACAAGAAAAGTAAATGCTTGCTTAAATCCCCATAAATCCAAACATCTGAGGCTACATTTACTCCTTTTTCCTGGCTCTGTTCCTCTTTGAAAGCATGCTGCTTGCATACTCGCTCACGCTTTTTCCCATGAACTACAAGAGTGTAGGCCAAAATACTCTTTGCAACCGGTAACTTGCTAGGCACACTAGCTTCCCGTTAATATAACAAACAGTCGTTTCATAATGCTTGAAATATCTGTAGCATGAATATAGTAAAAGCACTGAAATTGGCAGGAAATAACTATGTATGAAGAGAATTTTTTTTTTCCATTGGGTCAATTTATTCATCCGGTGAAAACATCTTACAAGAAAAAAATATGCTAAGTTATGCAGAAAAATGATCCTAAGAACCCCGCGTTAGCAGTATTCGAATGGCGTGGTCGAGTATGAAACACTCATGGAGTGCCAGAGTAGAGAGCACCTGCCTGCGTACCATGTCTCGGAGAAAGCAGGATTGCACCGTCGCGGTCCGTTCTGCGACGGCGTGGTGTCACCGTCCCTTTCGGCAGGTTTAGCTGCAAGCTAGCATGTGTTTCTCTGCTAAGAGGTGCGCTCAGTTGGGAAAAGGAGCTGGATCTTTTAGTATCCAGCTACTTGGCACCTTGCCTTGGGTTGCAATAGCTGAAGAGATGAGCAGGTTCACTGAAGGCAAAGTCAGAGGAACGATCCTGGCTGCTGCTGGCTAAGTGGTGACTTCCCACCTGCTAACATCACGTAGGCGATGAACGTTGCTGCTTCTCATTTCTAACAAAATAACTGTCTGACCACTCGCTAGCGCCCTGCAAAAGGGAACAAAAACTTACTGGTAGGGGGTATCACCTTCTGGAGACAGGCTTGGGGAGCAGCCAGAGGATGGGTTAAAGCAGCAAAAGCCAAGGGGTGCTGAGGAACCAGACTGCAGCTGGTGGCAGTAACCACGGGGTAGGGAGGAGCGGGCACTGGGGCAGCACTGATGGGGACTGAGCCCCGCAGGGCTCCCACTGCCCACAGAGCAGCTTGCCTTCGCTGAACTTGTATCGTGCTGGGGGAGGGAGAAAAGTCTCAGCTACACGCGCTCATTGCCTACCTGCCACTTGTGTCTATAATACAATTGCAGGAAAAGCAATCACCGCTGCACTGAGACCACTCTGGGAAGCCTTATTTTTCCTAGGCCAAAGTGCAGCTATCAAATCTCAGTTGGTCTGGCCGAAAAAAGATCAAGGCAGTGATCCCTTTTCACTAAAAATGGTTATGGTTCCCACTCTGTCATCATTAAAAAGAAATATTGAATAGCCAAGTTCTGCCCTTCACCAAGGCTCTCTGAATACAAGACTTTGTTTGCACAAAATAATTCTGTAACTCAAACCTCAGCAGTCAGTGCTGTGCCTACTTTGGTACCCAGCCAGTGAATTTTAAAGTAAACACCCTCCAGGACTGTTCTCCATTTGGATTTATTAGTCATTACCAAGAAAAGATAATTAGCACTTCTGAAACGCTGTGATAATCAGTAGCATGAAGTGTTACCAATAGAAACGGACAGGGGTACTTGTGCAATGCAGGAACAGGGCAGCTCTGCTGCACTCCCTGCATGGAGCGAGTACAGCAGTGGGCAGATCCGCAGCTGGAGGAAGTTGTCATAAAGACCAGTACCTTCAGTGGAGCTAATGACACTTCACACAGGCTAAGGCAGAGAGCGGGATGGTCCCCGGCCTGCTGGGCTGCTCTTAGACGGAGGCAGATTTGTTTCTGTTACGGTGTACAAACTTGCTGTTGTTTGAAGGCGGTAGCAAACACGGCTCCTTTCCTGGGCATCAGAAAAATAGGAGCTAATTCTTCTTCTTTTGTACGCACCCTGACAACTCAAAGGAAAATAACCTTGCAGGTAAATGAAGGCAACTTGGCCTTACGTGGATCTCTTAAAACAGTGATACATTTTTTTCCCTTCTTCTTTCTAAAATTAGAGAGGAATACCTTGTTGTACTCAAGTGAGGCGAAATACTGATTCTGGAGTTTTAGTACTATTGTTCCCTGAACAGTAGTATTCTGGAGTTTTAGTACTATTGTTCCCTGAACCTTCACTGCTGATGATCATGTGCAACAATCACAAGAGGGATGGGATGTAAATCTGAAGTTCTTGGTCTAAGACCCTGGGCGTTAAGCATGCCAGGCTTCCTGCTATACAAAAAAAGTACTGCTTAATGACCTCATGGAAGTGGGTCTATTAGATTTATCAGCTTTGGTATCTAAAGAAACACCGTAATACATATGCTTGTATTTCTTAGACTCGCAAATTTGTAGTAGTCGTCTTTGTTTTTCTGTATCTGCAAAGGATAGAATGAAAAAAGTAAATGCTTAAGAGCACAGGTAGCAGGTAAGCTTGGGAAGATTTCTGTTTTGGGAAATACTAGTAACAAATGCAGACTGAGGATTTCCTGAAAGAATACTTGCAGATCTGTAACAACTACCCTCTTTCCTACCCCTGCGGAGTATTTAAGACAGTATAATCTCAGGCTATACGCCCCTCAGTATTAAGAAGCGAACACAGAAATGTATCGGTGCCCTGAACGTCATTCCGGCGCGCTGGTGCTTCGTGCCCTGTGGGAAGCACTTGGGATCAAGTCCAAATTTATCACAGAAACAGAACTTTGCCTGCAATTAATGTAAGGGCTGTGGTGTGCTGTGCTGACAGAGGGCACCTTACACGTGTAACTCCTGTTGATGCTAATGGGAATTACTTGTGTAATTGCAACAACTGAAGCCGAGACTCTCATGACTGTGATTCCAATGCCAGTAACATTCCTTAACGTCTACAACATGCATCTAGGATGACCCTGGGATCATCTCGCTGGCTGATGCACTCACGGCATCCCTGCGCGTTTTCCCCTCTCCCGGAAAGGGCGACTGCTGTGCCAGTTCTGGCAATACTGAGGTGAAGTTCTAGTTCTCGTGATGGCAATGAACATGGTGATGCGCTGGTGGCACGTAGAAGTCAGCAAGCGCGCGCGTGTTCCCTTCCCACTTGTTGTTTGGGAAACGGGCACCTTCCTGCCACGTCACCGGCCAGTTGAGTTACTGACCTCTGAAAGTGGTGAAATCAGTCAGAGTGATGCACAGCTTGAACAGTTGTTCTGTACGTGGAAGTTACTATGGCAGTGCTTTATAGACGCATGTAGTACCATAAAATGGTGATGCTGGAGCACTGTGACTCTTTTATGTGTGTTACAGAGAGGGCTTGCTCCCGTGCTGGCAACTGCGCTTGTGGACTGGAACAAATATCAGAATAGCTCCAATAAAGTCCATTGCCAGATTACATCTGGCAATGGAACTGAGTCCAAAACATCTGGATAACAGTTTACAGCTTATGTCAAAAATACTGTCTTCTCCCCCTTTTCCTTTTCCCATCCGCATTGCAAAGCAGGCCGACTTCGTAGCATCATTTACAGGAAAACGGTCTCTGCTGCATCTTTTCATTGCCATGAAACTCATGTAATTCTGGCACTTTTAACACCTACCCTTTCCTCGGCTGCTGGTGCTACTGTAACGAGTAAAGCGGCTGCCTAACGCTGTTCCCTTGGAAACCAGGTCTAAGCAGCCTAGTTTGAGGCCTGCACGGTGCTGAAAAGACAGAGCTCTCATGGGCTGAACACCTTTCCGGACCGTGCCGGTTTCACTCCAAAAGCCTGGGTGAACAGAGGAGTAACCTGGGCTGTTGCACTAATCTAACTGATTAAAAAAGAAAAAAAAAAAAAAAAACTTTGGGAGCGCAACAAGACGCTGACAGAAAACTCGCCGCCGTCTCCTTTGTTTGGCACGGGCGCCTTGTGGGGAAGCTGGGCAGCGGGAGCAAAAGCTGCGAGCGGGCAGGGTCTGGCACGGGTGCGGTCTGGGAGCGCTGGGAGAGGGACCCAGTGGAAACCGCATCTCACGTAGGCTGTAGATATCCAAATCACCGTACACAACAGCGACTGTGAGTCTGCTGTCATCGCCTGAGGGTCTTCAAAAAAAAAAACCAACCCTAATTCGCTTATTGCCTGAAGACGTTATTTCTGGAATGATCTAGCTGCAGATCACAATCCTGGGTAGAATCATACTGCTGAGCGTACTTTAGTGCAAAAATCTATTTATGGACTAGTTACAAACAGTGCACTGACAGGAGTCTGCTCTGGACAGAAATGCGCACCCAGCCCCAAACCTTTTCTGTAGAAAGTGCCCACAGCTCATTTTTGCGCCATCTTCATGTTGGGACTGCTCTGGACAGGGCTGGTTCTTGTGCGTCATGTTACAGCTCCAAGTTGCTGCAAAGGCCACGTGGAGGTCAAATACAGCTAAGGATCAGCTTCGCATGGGGTATGCCAGCTGTGTCCCCTTTCCTTGCAATGCCAGCAGTTGGGAGGGTGAGTGGATTAGGAGCTCCTCAGATGGCTCTGGAGATCACTCTTATATCTGATATGATACCCAAAATGATCCTGCTCTACTGAAGGCTCCAGCTCTGTACCGCTAATGTGAAATTTCTATAGACAATCCAAAGGCATAGTAAAAATAAAGGTCATTCATATATACACGCACTGCTTTCAGCATATTTTGCCTTAGAAGACTGCTGCCATCTTTGATATTATGAGAAGATGGATAAGAAAACGTTTTGTGCCAAGAACACCAGTGAAGTAAAGCACAGAGTTCATGCAGCATAGTGACTGATAGTCACTATATTCCTTATTAAAGGTGCTGGAATAGGTAATTAGTAAGAATAAAGCTCAGACAGTTTGTGACTACCTAGTTCACGCAAGTCCTTGCAATAAATATATAATTGGTGATGTATGTATGTATGTATGTATGTATGTATGTATATACACATGTGTGTGTTTTTTAATACTAGCCCAAAGGTGAACTGATCAGTCTTTGGTCTTTCTGTTCCTGCAAATCATGCTACAGTCGCAGCTTTTTTTTTTTTTTTTTAAAGTACTTTTAACTTAAACTGGTTTAGGCAAACGCCACACTAAATATAGCAAGTATATGCAATATATAAGAACAAAGCAGGAAAAAGGATTATCAGAATAGCTGAAATAATTTTGTAAACATGTCTATATTACATGTCTATATAGTCTAATTGTCATTCCTATCCTATCAGACCCATGTGGAGACAGTCCTATACTTAAGCACAACTTGGTTCAAGTCAGTTGGTGCATTTAGTCCTGCTTAGAGCAGGTCTGAGCTTTAACTCAGGGTTGTGGGATTTCAATTTTAATAAAAACTGAAAGGTGCAAGTGCTCTGAACAGCTATGCTCTAGCATCAACTATTCTACAGTCAGTCACCTTGAATCAACACTTTGAAATAAGTCTTGCTGTTAACTTGAACAGGAGGTTAGCCAGGCATCTGTGAAGAAAAAAGGCCTTCCCCCCACCCCGCCTGTTGCATATTCTTCTAAGTTAGGCTTTTCTCAGTGAGGCATGTAGACCTGTAGACCTGAGCCTCATCCTGGAATTGTTTTGCCCAATTCCAGGTTACAACGGCACTTTTCTGTTGAATCCAAAGTTTCTTCTCTGTCATTGTGGGTTATTGGGTTTTTTTTGTGCCTCTCCACTGAAGGCAGGTGCTTAGCTGAAGGGCAAAGCTTCAGAGCTCCCGGGGTATGACAGTGAAAGGGATGACAGGACTGCTGGATTCGAGGTCCAGAGCGGTCAGGAAGCATTCAACAGCTGCTTCGTTTTTCCCCTGTGCTTGCAGGACTTCCCCAAGGCTGTTCCAGGCTCTGTGACTGGTGTTCTGCGTCCGGATGGCGTCTCGGAGGACCTTCTGGGCCAGGTCCTTCCGCCCAAGTCTGCTCAGCACTGGGCCCTGTCAATAAACAAGTGATGAACAGTTAACAACAGCACAAAACAGAACAAAAGCTCCTAAGTCTAGGTAAACAAGAGCCCAGGTGTCATAGTCCTGTGAGGTAGCTCTCCCACTATTTATGGAGAAGAGAAGCAATCAGCTGTTAAGCTATGCTTTTTTTGATTATGGCCATATATTTTAAGAGAGCAGTGGTGAAGTTCGTTGTTGTTCTTCTTTTTTAAATAACAGAGCCTGATCCAGCCAGTGCTCCTGCTGTATTTTACTGGGAGAGCACATACTGGTACTGTGTGATGCTTGTAAGAGGGGAAAGGTCTTTTAAGCATCTCACTCTCCTCCAGAAGCTTACATCAGCTTTTAATCCCCAACAAAATACACACAGGTTCAATTATTCCACGTATCTAAATTAACTCTTGCATGTCCAGAACATCCAGCTGAGTCTGAGGTAAAGGTCTCTCTGATCCTAGATCCTGACCTTTCCTTCTGAAAAAAATGTAGTTAGGGGGATGAGGTCCCCTTCCAGACCTGTAGGGCTGACTGTATGTAACAGCATCAGCACACTCTGTCCAAGTGCTATTTGCACTCCAGTCCAATGTAAATCCTAAAGCGTTGTGGGGGAGGAAAGGGATGAAGAATTCTTGCTTAAAAAGCTGTCCTTAAGGTAAGAAAAGACACAAGTGGGTGTAACCATCTGGAAGGAACAGGAGGGGGAGGATGAAAGAAGTGGTAGGAAGAACATGTTTTCCTATAGAGCTCGCATGGATGAGCCTGAACCCATAGGGCAGCTAATGAGCCAGGCTCCCTTTTAATTACACAACAGTCAACCGCACTGGGCTTTGTATGCCACAATGTATTAGTGCCAATTTTCTCTTCCATCCTTGAGGGGCACGCACCAGGACGAGCCTCTTGCCAGCACTGCTTCTCTCACCACTTCCATCCAGATGTAGCCTTAGGAAGCAGCAGCCAGTATTTTCATGTGGCCTGCCAAGCCTGCCATGGTCTCTGCCTATGTCCAGCCCATTCACATGCTGCAGTACCAAATCTCACAGATTCTACCACCACCAGTAGCAGGTGACCTTTCTAGGGACCTTTCGGCAGTATGAGCTTAAAGTGCTCTTCCTGCAAGAGTGAGGGATGCCCAGGCACGGTCCATCAAATATCTGCTATGTTGTCAGAACCACCGCTACAAAACAAGTAACTGATGATTTGAAATTCTTAAGGCTTGCACTCCTAGGATGGAGGTTACGCAGTGCATGAGCTCACGTCTGAGTTGCCCATGTCCTCCATATCCCTGAGTTGTCCATATCCCTGTGTATAAACATGCTATTTCCACTGACTTCTCGGTCAAGGGGCTCGGTGATTCAAAGGTTTCCATATTAGAACAGTCCACAGTAAATATATCAGTCCACAGTAAATACATGCTATGTATGGGAAATATTTTTGTAAGAAAATACTAGAATTTAATTTAGCAGATACACATGGAAATATTGGAAAGTGAGAGGACTGCCTGACTTCATTCTTTTCCTGTGACTCTGTAGTTTGTGGACGCAATCATACACATGAAAAAAAGCATTAGTTTAGTCTTTAATGGATCTATGTGCATTTAGTTGATGTCAAAAGATGAAAGAAATCTTAAAACTCTTGCAACTAGAACCCAAAGTAATTTTGGTGGTATTTTTGCAAGTAGTGAAGATATTTCCTTTGTATTGTTTTGTTTGCTTTTCCTAAACTGCTATCGGATGCAGGGTGCATCAGCATGACTAAAACCATGCAGGCATGATATTACTAATAACCACAAAAATACATTACTATGCCACAGAAGGGTTAATAAATATGTGATTAATCAAATGAAGGTGGCTCCTCCTTGCACATAACTTTGACCTGAATGTCAATTCAATATCATATCTGATCACTTTAAGATTTAGTGAGGACGTTTTTTCTTTAGGTTTATCCTTCTGTTGAAAAATGGTGAGACAACAGGCCTAACCTTGCCTTCCCCCCACGATCAGACCCAGGTTGTACAAAGGTACTGCAAGGGGAGAGTTCGGTTGATGTGGAGGTAGCTGCTTGGAAACGAATGCAAGTATGTAATAACAGACTGGAAGGAATTTGTGCAATTATAATTTGAGTCACCAGCTCGACAAGGATAATGAGGTACAGAAAGGGCAAGTAACGTGGCCATATAGCAACTCTGCCGTGGAGCCAAGAATAGAGGAACGCTCTCTCAGCTCATGTTTGTCCCCAACCACAAAACCACTCTTCCTAAAAATTCTTCCTGTTGCTCTGACCGAGCAGTGACGATTCTGCTCCCTGCTGGCCGGGGACCCAGCGCCGGCCTCACCCCAGCACAAAGTGACATGGAGTCTCCAGGGTGCCGCAGCCTCCTCGGGCCGCTCGCCCCGGAGGCAGGTGGGCTGGCGAGCCTGTGCAGCTGCTGCCTGTCCCCCCCCCCCGCCCCCAGGGGGGG